GAACTTCAGGGAGTAAAGAAGCCACTGACAAACACACACACACACACACACACACACCACCACCCCACCACCACCAAAGGTCAACCAACATGGGGTTACCCATCTCGGGTAGTGGACTCAACAGTGCACACACCCAGGTGTGTGTGCCAAGTATGCCTAGAAACTAATGTGTACCTTCCTACCACTTACGGCCCTAGGTTTCTGGGCCCCAAGAAGAGGAAATACAGAGACATTAGGGCTGCAAATTATGCTGCAGAAAAGTTGTGCTATGAACATTTCAGGCATGGGAAGCCAAGACACTGTGGCAAAAAAATGAGATACATGAAGGATCCCTGTGAGGGAGATCCCAGTGGAAAGAAGGGGCCATCAAAGTAGGAGGTACCTTTCCCTGAAGGGAGGAGAGAACTTCCACTTTGATTATGGCCTTGTCTAACTAAGGTCAGACTTCGAGAACTCAAGAGGCTTCCATTGCCTTGGCAGCTCATGACAAGAGCCTCCAGTGATCACTGACATCATAAATAAGAGTGCCAAATGTTCAATCAACAGCAGGAGTCCGTGTGCTTACTCCCCATGAAGGACCTCTGTCCCTAATGAGTTGTACTATGAGAATTAACTGTAAAATAGTTCAAACAGGTCTTTATAGTTTGTGTGTCTGTGTGCATGCAAACTGTTGAAATCTTTACTTAGTATAGAGTTGTTCTGGTGTCTCAGCTACCACCTGACTGCTGGTTTTCATAGACTTGTCTTTTCCAATCTTAGAAGTTTGGTGTCTTCTGCTTTTGAAATGCTTTGGCTCAGCTTCCACAACAGACCTGAGTGTAAAGGATCGAATTGCAGCCAAGCCAGGTAGGGATTCCTTCATTGATTTTGTAATCTATAGGTTATTGCTGTCCCCCCAGCTGGGATATATACAGCTTTCCTTTCTAATCTCTGGCATATGCTTCTCCCTTGAACTTGCCTTTGTCTCCTCCTGCTCTGTGACAGTGAATGCCGCATTTCTTGGCTCTGCCATGGGGCAGGGGAAAAAGGAGGTGGAAGTGCTGCTCATGGCTTAGCTGAAAGTTCCAGCAGGGCCTGGCTCCTCTCCCCCAGTAGCCAGATAACCTGAGCTTGCCCTTGTGCTTGACCTTCAGTCAGTAGGCCAAGGCCACGGACAAGGCCTTTTCTGGTATGTCCTGTACCATTAAACTATGACTCTTTACTAAACCCTGTAGCAAATCAAATCAAACCCATTGGTATCCCTCTTGAAAACCACTGGAATGGTTTGCACAATGCTACTGACTTAGCACAGAACCTGAGAGGGTGATTATTCAGTGGGACTTTCTTTTCTTTTGTTCAGACTTGGGGAGTTCAAAAAGTATAGTTGAAGGAATGCAATGACATTTGTTGTGCTAGAGTCATAAGCAATAACTACACATTTTTGTTGGCCCATGGGCCATAGCTGTAGTTGTCCATTCATGTGTGTGTGTGTGTGTGTGTGTGCATATACATGTATATATGTTTATTGGAGATTTACTTTTTTTTTTTAAACTTAGGTACATCATTGATACAACATGGCTGCCCTGGACATGATCTATTGCATTCAAGTTGCTTGAACACATCAGAAGTCCCATTGTTAAGGTTGATTGATTGAAATTTATATGTTACCATGAATAAAAATTGTTTTTATGTTGAACATCATGGGCCTGATTTGGTAAATTGCTCAGTTTTGTAGCTGTGCGGGGCAGCATGTGAGCAGGAGTCATTCACTATCATACACAAACACACTTTGTTATATTTGTCTGGGCATAACCACCGGCTTTCCTCTTTTAAGAAAATGGCCAGAGCTGGAGCAAGCCATAGCCAGGCACTCAGAACTTATCCCAGGTCTCCATGTGTTTGCCAACTATATAACCAGTTGGCGCTGAGTATGTGCTACAGTCTTCATTAAGGTTATATAAAAGTAATACTATCAACTGAAGCATTAGCAGTAGCCATAGCACAGAGAACAAAGTGATTGCTGTGTGTAGAGTGTTGGGAAAGTGTTCCCTCTCAGAGCCTCGCTATGGACTGTGCTGTGGGAACAGGTTTCCTCTGGGTAAGGTGTCCACATAGTACCAGACTCAAATGTGACCCAGGGAAGAGGAAGCCTCCCTCCCATCCTGCCCTGACTCACCCAATGGCATTCTTAGAAGGATCTATTTCACCTGCTTGAGATTTCTCTTCTAGAATGTGTGTAAATAAACTTGAAAAACCCACAAGCAGATAAGGCCCACAATAACAGGGTATATTTATTTGTTTTTTTTTTTAAGGTTTATTTATTTATTTGAAAGTCAGAGTTACATAGAGAGAGGAGAGGCAGAGAGAGAGGCATTTCATCCACTGGTTCACTCCCCAGTTGGCCACAACAGCCAGAGCTGAACCAATTCAAAGCCAGGAGCCATGAACTTCTTCCAGGCCTGCTTTGTGGATCCAGGGGCCCAAGGATTTGGGCCATCTTCTGTTACTTTCCCAGGCCATAGTAGAGAGCTGGATCAGAAGTGGAGGAACCAGGACTCGAACCGGCATGCATATGGGATGCTGGCACTGCAGGCGGCAGCCTTACCTGCTAAGCCACAGTGCCCCCCCCCCTTTAGATCTTCACCAACACAGTGGCCAAATTGTTTGATCTCTGCTTCTCCAATACATAAAAAATAGTATGTCTTTGTAGTTTAAATGTGCATCCCTCTTATTGTGAATGTGGTCATTTGTGATATGTGTAGTTCTTAATTGAATTTTCTTGATATTTTCTGATGAGGCTCTATTCCCTTTATTTTTTCAGGTAATGTATAATTTTGTTTTTCTTTATTTTCTTATCATGTTTATGTTCTAGTGCTTTATTCCCCAAAGCTGTAATTTTAAGAAAGAATATAGCGGGTGTGTAATGGATCCCTATATAGGGCATGTTGCCCCTTTCCCCCCCCCACCCCATTTCTCCCTTTAGTGAGACCCTTGGTGCTAAATCAGACCCTTCCAGACTCCTTGCAAAGCACCTGGCAGACAGATAAGCTGCACGGGGCAGCTAGTGAAGCAAATAAGAGGAAGTTCCCAGAGGCTTCAAAGAGCGCCCAACTCTCCTACAATCTGCCTTCTACCTCTACCCCCCAACCCCGTAGTGGCAAACTCCCACTTTTTTTTTTAAGATTTATTTATTTATTACTTGAGAGTCATAGTTACACATAGAGAGGAGAGGCAGAGAGAGAGATGTCCTCCATCCAATGGTTCGCTCCCCAACTGGCCGCAATGGCCGGAACTGTGCTGATCCAAAGCCAGGAGTTTCTTCTGGGTCTCCCATGTGGGTTTAGGGACCTATGGACTTGGGCCACCCTCTACTGCTATCCCAGGCCACAGCAGAGCGCTGGATCGAAAGTGGAGCAGCTGGGACTAGAACCAGCACCCATATGGGATTCCAGCGCTTCAGGCCAGGGTGTCAACCCGCTGCACCACAGCACCAGCCCAAGGCAAATGCTTGGGTGGTTCCCACTCTTGTGGGAGGCCTGGATAGAGCTCCCGGTTCCTGGGTTCTCCCCGGCCCAGATCCAGCTGTTGCAGACATTTGGAGGAGAGACCCAGTGTGCAGAAGATCCTTCTCTCTGTCTCTGTGTCTTTCAAATAAAATGAAAAAATAAACTTAGAAAAAAAATTTAATGTTCCAACTCTAGCCTCAAATTTTATGTTTGCGATGTTTCAATATGACTTCAAAATGCTTCTTATAAGAAGGTACACTCTTCACCTTGTCTGAGGCTGTGTTCACGATATACTAGCCTGGCAGGACATGTGGGGGCAGGTTAGGAGCTCACTGGGAAGACAGGGTGTAGGCAGAGCTGGGCAGGTGCAGGCTCCAGCAAAGCCAGACACCAAAAGCACTTGACATCTAATATTTCATAAAATAGAACAAAACTGGATTTCCTTACACTTAACACTGAGCTTTAAACAGGAATGGTGGGCATACCCCGACGTCCTCAAGGCCTCCATCTGGGCCTGGCTGAATGGTCACTTACCCTTCATCTAGGGCACTCTGACCCTTTGCTCCATGTCAGACACACTGAGTACCAGGCACAGAGAGATGCATTAGATTTAGCAGTGTGTCAAGAAACTCAGTCCAGTGAGAACTGTTCGTTTCAAGATTTTCTTTTTTAAGAGGAAGAGAGCTTTTCTGTCAACACTTATACGACCAGCTGAATGGGATAATTTTCTTTATATCCACGTGAAGCAAGAATCCCCTAAACTTTTTGTGGTCAGTGGCAGGTTGCTGTTCTAAGTTCCCTCCTCCCTCATGCAAACCTGCTCTAAATCCCAAATCACTCTCCAGAATTCTGCAAACAATGGATTTGTAACAGACAATATGGGTTTAAAATGGTTGTGTGTGTGTGTGTGTGTGTTTAAGATTTACTCATTTGAAAGTCAGTGTTTTACAGAGAGGGAGAGACAGAGACAGAGATCTTCCATTCACTGGTTCACTCTCCAGATGGCCACAACAGCCAAGGCTGGGCCAGGACAAAGTCAGGAGCTTCATTGGAGTCTCCCACGTGGGTGGCAGGGGCCCAGACACAGGCTACTTTGTGCTGCTTTTCCAGGCCACTAAAAAAGACTTGGATTGGAAGTGGAACAGCCAGGACTTGAACTGGCACTCATGGGATGCTGGAGTTGCAGTCAGCAGCCTTACCCACTATGTCACAATGCCCTTACCTGTTTCAAGTGTTGTTCACCTTGGTGGAGGCTAGGCCAGCCCACAGGCAGCTGCTGCCCCTCCCTCACTTAGATCCCAGAAGGTGATGACCCCCCCAGTTGGGCTTTGTTCTCCCTGGGGGATGCCGCCACCATGGAGGGCACCCAGAGGTGGCCCCCACTGCTCACCACCCATCGGGCATCCTCCAGGTTACTCCCTAGTGACCCACATCCCAGCCGGCACCCGAGACATCCAGACCGTGGAAAGGAAGAAGTTGGCCCATGTGCTGGGTGCGTAGGTGGGACTGGGGGAGGGGCGGTGGACCCCGGGCCCCTTCCTTTGGGAAGGGGGTGGGCTGAGTACTGTGGGCCCCAGAGGCCAGAGCTCAAGTCAGCTATTGGGGGAGGGGTGTCCCAAGGAAGCTGAGTTCACCACCCCCACCCCAAGCTGCTGGGTGAGGCACGGTGGTGATGCCAGGTAGTGAGCACCCCCCCATCATGAGTGGGGCTGGCTCAGGCAGGAGGTCTCAGAGCAGCTGCGTGGGAGCCAGGACTGGGGGAGGCACTGGAAAGGGAGGTGCTCTGCTGAATTCAGCCCTCTGGCTGCAGCCAGCCTGGGACTCTCTGGTGGTAGGGCGGCCATGCAGGCTGCAGGCTCTGGGGCTGGTCCCGGCTGAGCGTGGGGAGCTGGGCCTCCGGCCAGGCCCGCTGTTCTAGCGCTCGCTCGGTCGCTGGAGCAGTGGCGAGGCCAGGAAACAGCATGTCCTCAGAGCTGGCCGCAGAGCTGTCGTTCTCAGCACTGACGCGTGGAAATACTGAGGATGGCCTGTGAGCTGGGAGAGCTGAGGGAAGAAAGGGCCCCGAGCTGAACCCTGGCCCTGGCCGCATATCTAGGGGCTGGGCCGAGCCCCTAGTCCCCCCCCCCCCCAAGACCGCTCACTGAGGCGTCTTCCTGCTTGTTTCGTCTGTCTGATAATAAATTAATTGTGCCGGCGCCTCTGTTGGTGTTACATCAGGGACCTTGGGCGCAGCAGTCCTCTTGTCCATGGGCCAGTTCCTGGAACGGTCTTTGAGGACGTCCTCTGGAAGAAAGAGTGTCCCCAGCAGCCGGCTCTACCTCCTCCCTCCCTCCTGTCCCCAGCCCGGAGGCTCTGAGGCCCCAGGGTGGGGACAGGGCTGCTGGGGGCCTGGGCTCATGCTTGTGGTCTTCTGTCCTGAGCTGGGCCCGGGGAGTGTCCACTGACAGTCGAGAGGGTGACCGAGAACGCAGGCAGCCCAGCCCTAGGCTGATGGGGTGAATGGAGACATATTTGTGTCATCGTTCTCGTAATGAAGTCAGAGCTGGCTGGCTCCAGGTGGCTCCCAGGACAGTGCCCCTGGACCGGCCAGGCCCCAGGCCAGGGCTGCAGTGTCAGCCCATGTGGGCGCTGGAAGACAGGCAGGCTGGAGGCAGCAGCCGCTCAGGGTCCCACCATGAGTCTGTGGCAGCACCAGGCTGGAGCACCAGCCCCATACCTGCTGGCCACGGCGCACCTTCCACAGGCTGCCCACTGCCCTGGGCACTCCCTCTGTGCCCCTCATTCAGGGGCAGCCGGCTGCATGCAGGAGGGACTGAGGAAGGGGGTGAGGGCCCCACGGGAGGGAGCCAGGGGCCCAGCGTTGCCACCAGGGCCCAGGCCAGCCTGCGGGTTAGGATCGCCTTATATTGGGGCAGGGGACTTCCCACATGGCTCTGTGCACTTGTGCTCTGGGGACTTGGCCATGTGAGGGACAGCTCCCTCTGGGTGATGAGGTGTCCATGGCAGGGCCCAGGCTTGCCATGTCCCTGGGGCACAGCTCCATGTCTCCTGCTGCCCATGCCCACGCCATGCACGGGGAGCTTGCCTGGGCAGGCAGCACTACCTAGACCCCCTGGTGCCCCCAGGGGAGAGGGTTCATGCGCTGAGCTGCTGCTGGTCTGGGGACTGCAGCTGGCCCACAAAGCGTCTATCCCTTCCATATCTTCTGCAGGCTCTGGCCCATGGCTGGCACCCCTTGGTGGCTCACTTGGGGAGAGGCCTCTGGGCCCCATGCCTTTCTCAATCCAAGGCTACTGCTCTTGTCCAGCTACCATCACAGTTGGGCTGCAGGTGCCAAGAGCTGTCCCCTGGACCAGCAGGGTACCAGTACACTTCAGACAGCATCCCTCCCTGTCTTGGCCCCCAGGGCCAGCTGCCCTGATCAGATGGCGGTCCATTCTCTCCTGGCCAGGTGACGAGATGGCCCGAGGCAGCCTGAACCTACTGTCACTAGGTGGAAGCGCCCGCCTCCTGGCAGTCAGGGCCCGGTCCTCGCATGGCCTTTGTCTGAGCTGCACTGTGGCTCTGCCTTCCCTGGCTTGCCCAGGCAGTGCCCACCGCCGGGCCCCACTGTCCAGTGCACTACTGTGTGGTTCCCTGCCTCAGTGGATCTGAGCTCCCTGGGCACCACAGGCCCTGTGGGTGGCAAAGGAAGCCTCACCTTTGGAATAAGCTTAGTTACTTCCCCCAGGACAGAGGGGTCAAGTGCAACCAACTTGACCCAGGAGCCGAGTGGTCTCGGGCAGGCAGCGTGGTGCTGGGTCACGGCAGGTGGGTCGTGCTTAGGGGAGGGAGCCGCAGCAGCCCCGGTGAGCAACGAGTGTGCCGTGGGCCGTGCCACCGTGGTGATGCTGCTCGTGCACCTGCTGCAGGGGTTCTAGGGCCAGCCCGCGTTAGCGGCACAGCCACACTCTCCACGGCGGGGAGCCTCCCCCATGGCGGCTGCTCGCTGGCCACCGCTAACAAGTGAGATGACATTTTGCCCTTTTCCCCAGACCTGGCCACCTGTATCTCCCCCAGACCCCCTGCCCTCCATCTTTGCCCCTTTCCCCTGCAGGCACCTGAGCAGCCGGCCAGGCCAGCACAGCCGCCCCGACTGCTTAGAGTCTTATCCTGGGCCGCTCTGCTGGCTCAGGTCACAGGCACGGCCCTGCCTTGATGAAGTTCATCTTGTGCAGGTGCCTATGAGCTGAGAGGTGCAGGTGCCTGGGTCTTGGGTGCCAGGAGTCTGGGCCACGGCTCCGGCAGCTGTCTTGTGCCCACAGGCCTGCAGTGTGATGCTCTCCTGTTATGAGGGGGCACTGCCAGCCTCCCACTGTGTAGTCTGGTGACACTGGCAGAATCTGGGGCCTAGCGTCCGGCTATAGTTGTGGCCAAAGCATTCCATCCCCCGGGACCCCCCTGCAGTAGGCGGAAGCTATCTCAGATGCCGCAGGACGGCCTTGCTCCAGGGCTCTGGGACCTGCGATTTCCCATCGGGCTTCCCAGAAGCACTTTCTGACATCTGCTTCTGCAGGCTCGGCCGTGTGCACATGGCAGGCCAGCTGCCCCATGGCCTGGGCCTGCATGCAGCCCTCTGTCCCCAGCACAGGGTGTCCCTGCTCTGGACTCTGCGTCTCCGGACTCTTCCTCCCAGTGGAGGGCGTGAGATGCAGTCACTTCCCCTCTGGCCTCCAGGGCAAGACCCGCCCGCTGGGCTGCCTGGGGGGTGGGTCTCTGGGGTCTGTGTCTTCAGCACAGCTGCCCAAGCCTCTTCCTGCCCGCCTGGCTTGATAAACACAATGTCACCTCTCTCACCTTCTGTGCCGCGTGCACATTGGGTTGGGCTGTGTATGCTGGGCGCAGGAGACTCGGCCTGGCCGCCGTCAAGTCTCTGTCCATCCCACCCATGTCTGGCCCTCCTTCCCCACGGACAGGCCACAGCCACAATGGCCCCGTGAGGCCACGCTGACCTGCTCTGGGAGAACAACAGTGTGGGGCCTGGGCTGCCACAGCAGGGGCCACCCTGGCGTCCTTCGGGCAATGCAGAGCTGTGTCACCCTCTGTGACCCCAGGTGCTGTCTGTGGCCCCTCCAAACCCCACGGCTTTACTCTTTGGATGGGGTCAGAGTCGGGGCGACCCTGAGATCTCACGTTTTGAAGGTCATTGACCTTGATCCCACACCCCAAGGGCCAGGCTGCCAGCTCCAGGCTGGCGTCTGTGCTGGGCGTGTGGACTGGCGAGGTGAGGGGCCAGCTGGCTCTGGGTCTCATTGCCTGCTCTGTAGGACGTGTGTGTGTTTCCCCATAGCCACCAAGCTGGTATCTGGCTTGGCTTAAATGCGGTGACCCGGGCCTGCGCCACCCTCTTCCTCCTCTTCCTCCTCGGCTTCACCACCGCTTGGTCCCCGAGAGCTGCCCCATGGTGCGCTTCTTCCCTCTGGCTTCCCCACCCCAGTTCACACTGCCGGCCTTTCCACGCTCGCACCCCTGCTTCCAGGGGTCTCTGTGCTCGACCGCTCAGGGAGTCCCAGTGTGCGGGCTGCTTCCCAGGAGCACCCTGACCCCCACCACGGTGGTGCTGGGAGGGAGACAGCCAGGCCACCGTCGGGGGCTCCTCAGAGGCCTCTGTGTCATGGGAGCTCAGAGCTGGCCCAGCCCTTGGGGGTTGTCCGAGAGCGAGGTGGGCCTGGGTCTGCCCAACCCACCAGCCTGGCCCGGGGGGCCCTGCGAGGAGGCTGGGGGCAGTGACGGCCCCATGCAGCCGCTGGTGCTTTTGTCTTTATTACTCAGGAAAGCACGTGGGGTGCCCCTCACCTCTGTGTCCAGGGTGGGCCACTCCTGCTACCCCTCTTGCTCTGTGCCCCTGCTTCCTAGCCTGGGGTCCAGGCTGCCCCTGGCATGGGGACACGTGCCATCCTTGGGGGAGGCTCAGGTGGGAGCCAGGAGCCCTGGTGGGAAGGGAGAGGAGTGGGGAAGGGCCCGGTGCTGCTTCTCTCTCCCCAGGTGTGGAACCAGAATGGCAAGAGCCCCTCCATCACCTTCAAGTACATGTTGCTGCAGCCGCTCCACTATGGCCTCCCAGAGCCCGCCTCCCAGAGCCCGCCTCCCAGAGCACAGAGAGCTGGGAGCTGGGCAGGGCCGGCCTGCTGGGCTTTGTGAGGCACAACGGCTCCCTCTACAGCCCGGCCTCCTCGGAGTGGCTGGCCCTGGACAACCGGCTATTTGGGTCCCCGGCGCCCGAGATGGAGCTGGGCCTGGGCTGGGGCCAGGAGACCAATGAGGTGTGGGAGTGGGCCAGTGGTGGCAGAGCCTGCGAGGGCTCTCCCAGGGCCAAGGGCTTCCAAGGTAACCTGGAGGGGGTGGGGGGAGCAGGGCTTCAGTCCCTCCCAGGGGTGGTTGGTCAGAGGTGCCGGGCCTGGGGCCAGCTGGAGCGAGGGGCTTGGTGTACACACAGCTTTCTCATGTATGCTTGGCTGCACCCACAGGTGGGGACCCCCTGGATAGGAGGGCCGCTGTCTCTGGCTATCCCCATTTGACAGACGGGGAGACTGAGGCTTAGAGAAAGGGAGTGCCTGCCTGTGTTCGGAGAGCATGGGGCGCCCGAGCTGCAGGGGCCCAGATGTGCAGGGCCTGCCTCTGTGCTCACACAGCCGCTTCTGCTCCGTCTGTCCCTGTGTCCTCGTGAGGACACAGTGACGGTCCCTAGCCAATGACATCCCCAAGGACCCTAATTCCCAGTCCCAGGGGGGTCACATGCTGAGGTCCCCATGCCTACGATCTGGCGGACTCCCTTCTAGCTCCTGCAGGACACTGTCCAGACCGCGGCCAACTCAGGTTATTTAACTGAGCAGAAACTCCTTTCTGAGAGTGTCCAAGCCCAGCACCTCCTTGCCTGGGTCAGGGAGCCCTTGGTGTCGAGGCCCCTGTCTCCCTCCATAGACCACAATGCCACAGGGATGGTGGTCGCGGGGGACAAGGGGGGCCAAGACGTGGATGCCCATTTCACGTCCCGGGAGTTCCTGTCGGCCAACGCCATCTCTGGACAGCTGCTGGGTGCCGGCTCTGACTAGAAGGAGTTCGGTCTCAATGAGACAGTGAACAGCATCTTCGCCCCGGGCGGCCCCGGGAGCTCCCTGGCTGACAGCCTGGACTGGGCTACGAGGAGAACGAGGGAGCCGGTGCTGAGCTGCTCAACGGGTCCTACCTGGAGCTCAGCAGTGACAGGGTCACCAACACCTCCTCGGAAGCCCCCTTCCCCGACACCAGCACAAGTCTCCCCACCTCGGCCAGGAACGAAACTCACAGGCCAGGTAGGAGGCCCCACCCCTGTCCTGTCCAGGGCCTGGGGCAGTGGAGGGAAGTGGGGGACAGCCACGCCTTCCCATGTGCTGGGGCTCTGGGGAGAGGGCAGGGGCCTGGCCCTCAGCGTGTGCTCCTCAATGTCAGTCCCAGGCCCAGGTCCCCGCCGAATGCCAGGGCATGGAGCTTACACAGGGTGGAGGGGTGGGGGGGGCAGACACGGTTCTGAGCTCTTCTCCTGAGCCAGGGCGTCGGCGTCTAGCTGCAGGTGACCCTGCACCTGTCACAGTTGCCCTGGCCCTAGGGGCCTCCCTAGGGACTCACTTTGGAATGGGGGCGGCTTGGCCTCCAGCTGCACAACAGGCCTGACAGCGAGGGAGGATCCAGCAGTCCTCAAGTGGGGCCCGGACCCCAGAGCGAGGGTCGGGAGCAAGGCAGGAAGTGCAGCTGGGAAGGGCGCAGTGAGGGTCCCCCGGAGGCCCCAGAGCCAGTGGCAACTGGGCAGCATGGCTGGGCACGCCCGGGCAGTCACAGCTGAGGTCACCTGGGCAGTCACAGCTGGGGTCTCCTGGGCAGTCACAGCTGGGGTCGCCTGGACAGTCACAGCTGGGGTCACCTGGGCAGGCACAGCTGCGGTCGCCTGGGCAGTCACAGCTGGGGTCTCCTGGGCAGTCACAGCTGGGGTCACCTGGGCAGTCACAGCTGGGGTTACCTGGGTAGTCACAGCTGGGGTCGCCTGGAAAGTCACAGCTGGGGTCGCCTGGGCAGGCACAGCTGCGGTCGCCTGGGTAGTCACAGCAGCGGTCACCTGGGCAGGCACAGCTGTGGTCACCTGGGCAGGCACAGCTGCGGTCACCTGGGTAGTCACAGCTGCGGTCGCCTGGGTAGTCACAGCTGGGGTCGCCTGGGCAGTCACAGCTGGGGTCACCTGGGTAGTCATAGCTGGGTCACCTGGGCAGGCACAGCTGGGGTCACCTGGGCAGGCACAGCTGCGGTCGCCTGGGTAGTCACAGCTGGGGTCGCCTGGGCAGTCACAGCTGGGGTCGCCTGGGCAGGCACAGCTGGGGTTACCTGGGTAGTCACAGCTGGGGTCGCCTGGGAAGTCACAGCTGGGGTCGCCTGGGCAGGCACAGCTGCGGTCGCCTGGGTAGTCACAGCTGCGGTCACCTGGGCAGTCACAGCTGGGGTCACCTGGGCAGTCACAGCTGGGGTCACCTGGACAGTCACAGCTGGGGTCACCTGGGCAGTCACAGCTGGGTCACCTGGGCAGTCACAGCTGGGGTCACCTGGGCAGTCACAGCTGGGTCGCCTGGGCAGGCACAGCTGGGGTCACCTGGGAAGTCACAGCTGGGGTCACCTGGGCAGGCACACCTGGGGTCGCCTGGGCAGTCACAGCTGGGTCGCCTGGGCAGGCACAGCTGGGGTCACCTGGGCAGTCACAGCTGGGGTCACCTGGGCAGTCACAGCTGGGTCGCCTGGGCAGGCACAGCTGGGGTCACCTGGGAAGTCACAGCTGGGGTCACCTGGGCAGGCACACCTGGGGTCGCCTGGGCAGTCACAGCTGGGGTCGCCTGGGCAGGCACAGCTGGGGTCACCTGGGCAGTCACAGCTGGGGTCACCTGGGCAGTCACAGCTGGGTCACCTGGGCAGGCACAGCTGGGGTCGCCTGGGCAGTCACAGCTGGGGTCGCCTGGGCAGTCACAGCTGGGGTCACCTGGGCAGTCACAGCTGGGGTCGCCTGGGCAGTCGCAGCTGGGGTTGCCTGGGTAGTCACAGCTGAGGTCGCCTGGGCAGTCACAGCTGGGGTCGCCTGGGCAGTCACAGCTGGGTCACCTGGGCAGGCACAGCTGGGGTCACCTGGGAAGTCACAGCTGGGGTCGCCTGGGCAGTCACAGCTGGGGTCACCTGGGTAGCCACAGCTGCGGTCACCTGGGCAGGCACAGCTGGGGTCACCTGGGCAGTCACAGCTGGGGTCGCCTGGGCAGTCGCAGCTGGGGTTGCCTGGGTAGTCACAGCTGAGGTCGCCTGGGCAGTCACAGCTGGGGTCGCCTGGGCAGTCACAGCTGGGTCACCTGGGCAGGCACAGCTGGGGTCACCTGGGAAGTCACACCTGGGGTCGCCTGGGCAGTCACAGCTGGGGTCACCTGGGTAGCCACAGCTGCGGTCACCTGGGCAGGCACAGCTGGGGTCACCTGGGTAGTCACAGCTGCGGTCGCCTGGGTAGTCACAGCTGGGGTCGCCTGGGCAGTCACAGCTGGGGTCGCCTGGGTAGTCATAGCTGGGTCACCTGGGCAGGCACAGCTGGGGTCACCTGGGCAGGCACAGCTGCGGTCGCCTGGGTAGTCACAGCTGGGGTCGCCTGGGCAGTCACAGCTGGGGTTACCTGGGCAGGCACAGCTGGGGTCACCTGGGAAGTCACAGCTGGGGTCACCTGGGCAGGCACACCTGGGGTCGCCTGGGCAGTCACAGCTGGGGTCGCCTGGGCAGTCGCAGCTGGGGTCGCCTGGGTAGTCACAGCTGGGGTCGCCTGGGCAGGCACAGCTGGGGTCACCTGGACAGTCACAGCTGGGGTCACCTGGGCAGTCACAGCTGGGGTCGCCTGGGCAGTCACAGCAGGGGTCACCTGGGCAGGCACAGCTGGGGTCACCTGGGAAGTCACAGCTGGGGTCACCTGGGAAGTCACAGCTGTGTCACCTGGGTAGTCACAGCTGCGGTCACCTGGGCAGGCACAGCTGCGGTCACCTGGGTAGTCACAGCTGCGGTCGCCTGGGTAGTCACAGCTGGGGTCGCCTGGGCAGTCACAGCTGGGGTCACCTGGGTAGTCACAGCTGGGGTCGCCTGGGCAGTCACAGCTGGGGTCTCCTGGGCAGGCACAGCTGGGTCACCTGGGCAGTCACAGCTGCGGTCACCTGGGTAGTCACAGCTGGGTCACCTGGGCAGTGTGACTGTGTCAGAGGGTGTGACCTTCACCAGTGCAGTGTGCAGCAGGGTGGCCCCAGACCTGCCTGTCATACTACAGGGTGCTCCCTGGTGACAAAGCCGTGGGCAGCAAGAGTGTTCTCAGCAGATGGAGCCAGGCTCAGCCGCCACTGGTGGGGTGGGCCCCAAAGGTAGGGACAGCCCCCTGCAGTTCCTTGACCTTGGGCGATGCTCAGTCGGGGGTCCCCAGGACTGGGTTGGAAGGCCAGGGGTTTGGGCCATTGGCCAGGGTCCAGAGCTGCAGAGCTAGGGACCCCGGGGTGCTGCACCTCCCCCCCGGCCTCTTTACGAGGCCCAGCCCTTGTGGGGCCTTGGGCTAGGGCTGGGAGGACCCCCCCACTTTGGCACTGTGAGGGACTCAAGAGGGACCCTTCCTTGCCAGGAGGACACAGCTGGACCCTCCACAGGCTGCCCAGCAGGCACGTCCCCTGAGCCTTGCACCCACAAACCCTCAGGCTTGCAGGGAGTAACAGGCTTTGCTTCAGCTCTGAGCACAAGGGGCTTTGAAGGGAAGAACAGGAGGGTCTGACACAGACCCTGCTTGGCTGTGTGCTCCGGCCAGGACCTCAGGCCTTGAGTCCCGTTCCCAGCCCCCAGCCTGGGTCCTCTTTGCCCCCAGAGCCATCTGTGTGCACAGCACAGAGCCAGGGCTGGATCCCCAGGAGCTGGGGGGTGGGCAGCTGGTGGACATCAGCCCCTCTTGGCCACATCTGTCCTGGTGGCACAGAGCCCAGCTCTTCAATTCAGCATCAGGTACGGGGCATTGCTGTTGTCTGTGTGGTGTGGTGGGAAAGCAGGACACATGGCGAGCCCTGGAGCCAAGTCTACCAGCCTCTGGGCTCCAGCTGCTCCTCTGTCCATCAGGGAGCACCAGACGGGGCCCCTGCAGGCTCAGGTGCAAGGAGACTCTCGGGCCTGGGGCTCATGCAGCGTAAGCCCTGAGATCCTTGGGCCCTGTCTCCAAGCTTTGGTTCTGCTGCCCATCTCGGAGTCTTAGCGTCTGTCCATCAAATGCTGGTCAGTGCTCAGAAAGGCCAGGCTTGGTGACGCACTGTGCCTGCCATCCACCCAAAGATGGCCCAGGGAGATAGGGCCCAGGAGGTCATGGGGAAATCTTGGGGCCGAAAGGGCTGTACCTCGGTGAGCTGACCGCACACAGGAAGCCGTGAGCAGGACGCATCAAAGGAGTTCCAGAAAGGAGAGGCTATGTCCATCTGAGAGCAGCTCCAGCAGTCAAGGGCGGGGCCCTGTCCCCAGACAGACATGGGGCAGGGCGGGGCCTGTCCCCAGACAGACATGGGGCAGGGTGGGCCCCCTCAGAGCGGGGGCTGGCAGCCAGGAAAGCAGCCCTTTCTGCCCTGTCACCCGGGAGCCACCCCAGCCAGGCCAGAAGAGTCTGCATCTCCTGGGCAGGGGGCCCTGTGAGTGACAGTGATTTGGAGACCCTCTGGCCCAGTGAGGTATCCTCCCTCCAGATGGAAGTGGGGGCCAGAGGGGGTCACCCATGTCCTGGGTGTTTTGCTTCTCAGATTGCGCAAATCCTGTTGGGGGGGGGGCTGTACCTGTGGCCACAGGAGACATGCGGGCAGCCCCTCCAGGGACTCCCCAGGGCCTCAGGAGGGCTGGGTGCACTCCTGCCTGCTGGCTGGGAGCTGTCATTAGATAATGACAGCGGGTGGAGGGGCAGGGAGGGGCTGGCTCTTTGTTTCAAGGGTGGTATGGCGCAGGGGGACATGAAGCTGTTGGAAGCACGGGTGTTTTCTGAACCCAGTGTCAGGGATTCAGCTTCGGGTCCTCTCTTGCTCTGAGGTCCCCGGGTCTCGGCCCCCTCCCATGTTAGAAGTCCTCTTCCCTCTCTTTTTTCAAGATTTATTTATTTGAAACACAGAGAGACAGAGAGAGAGAGAGAAAAGAGAGATGGATCTTCCATCTGCTGGTTCTCTCCCGAAATGGCCGCAACGGCTGGGGCTGGGCCAGGCTGAACCCAAGAACCAGGAGTTCCATCCAGGCCTCCCACGTGGGTGCAGGGCTCCAAGCACTTGGGCCATCTTCCACGGCCTTCCCAGGCACATCAGTTGGGAGCTGGACTGGATGTGGAGCAGCCGGGACACAAACCGCTGCCCATGTGGGTTCCCGGCGCCACAGGCAGCGGCTTAATCTGCCATCCACGTCTCTTCTCATTTTTAAAGAGGAGGCTGGGGCTTCCCTCCGAGGCCGACAGACTCCTGGTTGGAAGCCTGAGGTGAGGGCACGGCTGGGGGAAAGATGATAACCACATCCCAGCCTTGCCTCTCCCTCCCCCATCCCCTCCCTCCTGGACGGGGTGGATTTGCCTCTGCTGCTCCTATCGGAGATTGTCTCCTGGGTCCCCCGAGCATGGGAGTGGTCGATGCTACCACTCCTCCCACAAGTGCAAGAACGCACGTCGGAGCGGCCCTAGGAAGAGACCAGCGAATGGCCCTGTGAAGGGGCCAGAGCCAGACCAGGCCCAAGTGATCTGCTGCAGGCCGCAGGACCCCAGGGGCTGTCTGCGCCCCGCCATAGCATCCCTGCTCCTCATGCTGAATCCAGAGTGAGCCCGCACTTGGAGCTTGAGATCAGGCCCGGCACATGGCTAGTTCAAAGCAGCCATGTGCCCTGATGGTAGCCGGCTGCAGCGCCTCATGCCCTGGCCAAGAGTTCCAGCCCAGGGTCCCTGCGACCCTGCGGAAGCTGGCTGCCACACCCCTGCCTGGAGCTGAGCTCTTTAATGTTGGTAGCTGGAGCCTGAGTGGCCAGTGTCCCCAACCACCCAGCACCCAGCTGGAGGGAGGCAGGAGCAGGGCATTCTGGAACATTCTTGGCTCACAAGTGCTGCTTTCTTGGTGGGAAGAAATCCAGGACTGATGGGAGAAGGTGGGAGTGAGATGCCTGCATGTGGGGTGCAGTCACGGTGTGAAACCCACATTCTTCAGCACCCCTGTAGGGAGCCCCAACAGCTCCCAGGCCGCATCTCTCTGCCCCCTAGCTGTGTTGGGGAGCTCTGGCGCCCACTGGTGGGGTTACGCCCTCGGCTGAAGGCAAGCATGTAGTTATGAGGAACGGCCCCTCCCAGGAGTGGCCGGCAGGGGGTGCTTCTCACTCCCTCTCTCCTCGACTTCCTTTCAGGACCAGGGCCAAGGCACGTAAGCAAGACGTGAGTCTGGCTAACATGCACCAGTGGAAGCTCTCATCACAGGAACCCTGCAGCGCCACCTGCACCACAGGTACTGGTCCCGGGTTGTAGCCAGGCAGCCCACTTGGGGCCCACCTCCACAAAGGGCCCCTCATGGGGCTGGGGGCACACCCATTGGCTGGTAGCCCCAAACTGTGTGTAGGGGGTGGGGCTTGGGAGGCAGACTGTGACATCTTTGTGTCACTGCCCACCAGGCCATGGTCAGGTCCCGGCAACCCCAAAGGCTCCCCCAGCTGTGGCTGTGCCCATCAGCTCCCGCTGGGGCAAGTGTCCTGGTGAGGAGTGGGAGCGAGAACTCATAGGTCGAGCAAATGCAGGGAGGGAGAAGTCGACCCCGCGACTCATGGTCAGTCAGGTTTCAGGAGCTCAGCTCAGGCGAGGACTTCTGGGGGGACAGAGACACCCCCCCAGTGTGTGAGCAGGAAGACTGGGTGGGGATTGGACCCGCACCTTGCTGGCCATGAGGCCAGACACCGCCAGAGAGACACTGGTCATGGCCACCAGGGGCAGCGGCTGCACCTGCTGCTGCTCCGAGCCCCTGCCCTGCCTGTCCTCAAACTCAGATGTGAGACCCAGAGCCAGGACACAGAGGCCACATGCTGCAGGGAGACCCCAAGGGTCAGCTCTGCATTCAGAGTTTTGTGTGGGATTAGCGGACTCCCAGCTGCCCCCATAGACGCCAGCTGGCCAGGCCCGTGGACACCCCTGCAGTCTCTGACTGCCGGCAGTCTGCATGTGGCTGTTCCCCTGCAGGAGATGGACCCTCGAGATGAGGGCAGGGTGGGTGGCCCTGCCTCTCAGGCTGAGGAAGGGGCTCTCATCCCGGGACAGGTGCCCCAAGCAGAGCTGATGGCATGGGAACGCTGAGGCTACCGTGCAACCCCCACCATGCCAGAGGGAAGCAGGCTTTGTGGGTGTTTAGCGAGCATGTGCCTGGCACCGCCCTCTGCCCACACCTCCCAGACCAGACACGCAGCTGGCTGGAGAGATGTGTCCAGGGTGGTGTGGCCTTGGGGACCAGGGGCGTGATAGACAGCCCTGGCTGCTGACGGCCCCAGGAGGACCCAGCAAGCTGTTGGAGTGGCTGGAACGGGGGTGAGGGGCAGGTGGAGTGTGACACGCGTGGCCCAAAGTGTGACCAGGACGAGTGGCTCTGGTGAGAGGCAGGGCCATGCTTGCAAAGACGCCATCCAGGAGCAAGCGAGCCCTAGGCAGCAGGTTCCCGTGGCCTCCGAGGGGGGTGCCCGCCTGGCGAGCAGCCTAGGCTGGAGTCAAGGCCTGTGGTTGGGATGGCAACTGTCCCCATCCCCACTGCTGGGCCAGGCCTCACCACCTGTGCCGGAGTCCCTACATACCCTGGGGCCTCACAGTCACTGCTTAGGGCCACAGGGACTCCGGACTCCCCTCGGGCAGGGTGCACAGCCAGGCTGGGCAGGGGTGGGGTATGTAGACTGTGCTTGGCAGCCCCGTGCCTGGCACCCGTGTGTGTGCCCGGCTGCTGGGTCCGTGGAGTGGGGGTGGGGGTGGGGCTTGGGTGGCAAGTGTGCTCCCTTGGGAACCCTGTGTTTTCGTTTCTTTAAAGACGCAATGAGGGCAGCAGCTGTGACCGTGTCTGGTCTCAGCTGGGCTCCTAGGGGTGATCACAGAGATTCCTCTGCCCCCAGGGGCACAGCAGTGATGGAGGGAACTGGCAAGACCCCAACTTTCACGTCTTGGGGCTCTCCTGGGGAAGAGATGACAGCTGAGGGGGAGGGAGGCCCTTGGAGATCCGGGGCTCTGAGCATCCCTGTGACCTCCTAGGAGGCCGATCAGGCCTGGAATGGTCAGATGTACACCTGCTGCCCCGAAATGGGCGGTTGCAAATAGGTGAGACCGAGAGACACTTGGTGACGTTTTTCTCTTTCAGTCATCTCAGGGTTGGTGACAGATGAGTTGGGTCCCAGCTGCACGGGCTGGGGAGGGGTGCAGGGGAGAGGCCAGATGCAGGGTCGTGGGTGGGGAGAGGGCTCAGAGGCACCCAGTGGCTCTCCCTGAGCTCCTCCAGTGATGCCTTGAGCCCGGGGACATCCTGGTCCCCAAACCGGGAAGCCAGGCTCTGAGCCGTCCCTTCACTCACCCAAGGCTCTCTGGTTAACTGTGAGGCTCACAGGACCCTCCCTTGCCCTGGACCTAGGGGTCATGTCGACGTATGCCATGTGTGTCCGCTAGGACGGCGTCAAGGTGGACGACAGCTACTGTGACGCCCTGACCCGGCTGGAGCCCGTGCACAAGTTCTGAGCCGGGAGGGAGCGCCTGCCCAGGTACCCCTGCCTGGGAGGGAGTGCCAGCCTAGGTACTCCCGCCCGGGAGGGAGTGCCAGCCCAGGTACCCCTGCCTGGGAGGGAGCGCCTGCCCAGGTACCCCTGCCCGGGAGGGAGTGCCAGCCCAGGTACCCCCGCCCGGGAGGGAGTGCCAGCCCAGGTACCCCCACCCGGGAGGGAGTGCAGCCCAGGTACCCCCACCCGGGAGGGAGTGCCAGCCCAGGTACCCCCACCCGGGAGGGAGTGCCAGCCCAGGTACCCCCACCCGGGAGGGAGTGCCAGCCCAGGTACCCCCACCCGGGAGGGAGTGCCAGCCCAGGTACCCCCGCCCGGGAGGGAGTGCCAGCCCAGGTACCCCCGCCCGGGAGGGAGTGCCAGCCCAGGTACCCCCGCCCGGGAGGGAGTGCCAGCCCAGGTACCCCCGCCCGGGAGGGAGTGCCAGCCCAGGTACCCCCGCCCGGGAGGGAGTGCCAGCCCAGGTACCCCCGCCCGGGAGGGAGTGCCAGCCCAGGTACCCCCGCCCGGGAGGGAGTGCCAGCCCAGGTACCCCCGCCCGGGAGGGAGTGCCAGCCCAGGTACCCCCGCCCGGGAGGGAGTGCCAGCCCAGGTACCCCCGCCCGGGAGGGAGTGCCAGCCCAGGTACCCCCGCCCGGGAGGGAGTGCCAGCCCAGGTACCCCCGCCCGGGAGGGAGTGCCAGCCCAGGTACCCCCGCCCGGGAGGGAGTGCCAGCCCAGGTACCCCGCCGGAGGGAGTGCCAGCCCAGGTACCCCCGCCCGGGAGGGAGTGCCAGCCCAGGTACCCCCGCCCGGGAGGGAGTGCCAGCCCAGGTACCCCCGCCCGGGAGGGAGTGCCAGCCCAGGTACCCCCGCCCGGGAGGGAGTGCCAGCCCAGGTACCCCCGCCCGGGAGGGAGTGCCAGCCCAGGTACCCCTGCCCGGGAGGGAGTGCCAGCCCAGGTACCTTTCCGGAGGGAGCGCCAGCCCAGGTACTTGCTCAGGCAGCCATGGGGTAGCCGGGATGGCTGAGCCTCCGCTCAGGACAGCAGTCAGACCTGGCCCCCGGGCTGGATGGTGGGGCCCCTGGAGGAGGGCATGGGGGTCTTGATAGATGCACTCCACCCTTCCCGACACCACGCCTGTCCCAATGACCTCTGCTGGGTGCAGCTGGGTTTTATAAACCCACAGGGATTCCGAGGCCCTTCCAGAAGCTCATGGGAAAATGAGATTAAAAGTTTCTTCGGGGCCAGCGCCGCGGCTCACTTGGCTAATCTGCCTGCGGCGCCAGCACCCCAGGTTCTAGTCCCGGTTGGGGCACCGGTTCTGTCCCAGTTGCTCCTCTTCCAGTCCACCTCTCTGCTGTGGCCTGGGAGTGCACTGGAGGATGGCTCAAGTGCTTGGACCTTGTACCTGCATGGGAGACCAGGAGGAAGCACCTGGCTTCAGATCTGCGCAGCGCGCCGGCCATAGCAACCATTTGGGGGGGCGGGTGAACCAATGGAAGGAAGACCTTTCTCTCTGTCTCTCCCTCTCTCACTGTCTAACTCTGCCTGTCAAAAAAAAAAAAAAGTTTTTTCGGGTGAAAAACATGGTGGAAGCCATGCCTAGGTTTTCATTGTGCACATTTTCCATGAACTTTTCAAAAGATTCTCGTATCCCTGGGAATGCAGGCTGCTGGCCAACTCACATGGGCAGAGGCTGGTCAGTGTTCCAGTCCCAGGCCTCCTGTCCTGCCTCACAGACACGGTCAGAGACGGAGCTCCAGGTGCATCGTGCCCTGGTGTGGACCAGCCCAGGAATTGGTGCAGGGGCCCCAGAGCCGCTGGGGGAGCCTCTGAGATGGGGAGCACTCACCCAGCTCCTGGCAGCCGGGGGGGGGTCTTACTGCTTTCCGGGAGGGGCAGGGAAGATGCGGGGCCCCTGGACCCTGCTGGACACGGCTGCAGACATGTGGCTTTCATTTCTCTGTGCCAGGGTTCATGGAGAACAAGGCCCAGCCCAGGGTCCAGGGCAGCACAGCAGCACACAAGGGGGCTCAGGGCTCCAGGACACTGGAGCATGGTCCTGAGAGGGGGTGGTGGGTGGGGGATGGGTCAGTAGGGCCCCAAGGTGCAAAGGTGAGAGCAGGAAGAGGCATCACAGGCCTTGGGGGGCCACAGGCTCAGGAACCACCCTGTCCCCGGTTGTCATGGCGACGACCTCCAGTTCGGCCCCAGGCCTCCCTGTCAGGACCAACCCCTGGGACCTGGGGCCACGTGTCTCTGGAGTGCAGGGTTGTCAGGGCTCCGGCCACAAGATGTGGGGTCATTGAAGGCTGCCCCACCCCCGAAGCAGGTGGGAGAGTAGCAGCTGGAGCTACCAGTTCTCCATCCTGGGCTGCTGAAAGATGCCGTCCCCCGGCTTCGACAGCTCCGTGAACAGCGACCTGTGGGAGGCGGCCGAGGCCGTGCAGCCGGAGGAGCGCAAGGTTTGCCGCAACCCAGCCTGTAGGCCGCAGTGGGAGATGTCCCAGTGGTTGGAGGTGAATTGGTGGCAGCTGTGGCAGGGATCCAGTGGGACTGGGCGTGACCAGGAGGGGCCTGGACAGGGGCAGGGGCCTGTCAGTCAGGGCCTGAATGAGGGGGCAGGGCTGTGTGGAACCTGGGTGTGGGTGGGGCCTGGGTGAGAGGGTGGGCCTGGGTGGGGCCAGGTGGGGATGGGGCCAGCTTGGGCTTGGGGTGGGACCAGGTGGGACCTGAGTGAGGGGGCGGGGCCTCCTGGAACCTGGGTGAGGGTGGGGCTGGGTGGGGCCAGGTGGGGATGGGGCCAGTTGGAGCCTGGGTGGGGGTGGGGGTGGGGGTGGGAGTGGGGGGCGGGGTGGGTGGGGCCAGATGGGGCCTGGTTGAGGGGGCGGGGCTGGGTAGAACCTGGAGGGCAGGTCCTGAGTGAGAGGTGAAGCCTGGCTGGGTGGAGTTTGGATCTTTGTGTTGCTGGGCAGGGTTGGGCAGTGGGAGATGTCCCAGGGGTCCAATGTGAGCCGGTGGGCCTCTTCAGGGTGGAGCTGGCCGTGGGCTGGCTGGGGCTTGGCAGGGCCATGGGTGGAGGGGCAAGGACTAGAGCCAGCCATGGAGCTCAGCCTCATACCCAGCCCCCCGCCCGCCCCTCACAGTGCACAGGCAAGTATGGGGAGCACAGCGTGGTGACTAGGCACATCCACTGCTCTGAGGACGAGAGGCTGTGTGACCCCAACACCAGGCCGGTGGGCGAGAAGAGCTGCACAGGTCCCCCTGCGACCGCCAGTGGACCACGTCTGACTGGGGGCTGGTGAGCGTGGCTGGCACGGGGCTGGCCTCTGCTGCCCCCGGCTTCTCCAGTTTCTGGAGCAAGGGTGTGAGCAAGGGTGTGAGGGAGGAGCCCCTGAGTGCCAGGTCTCCCTCTAGTTCTGAGGAATCAAAGCCCCCATCTGACCTGGCTGTCTCCCCCCGTCTCCATCCGTCTCTCCCTGTCTCGATCCGTCTCTCTCTGTCCGTCTCTGCCTGTCTCCCCCCGTTTTCATCCATCTCCCCCACGTCTCGGTCTGTCTCTCCCTGTCTTTGCTCATCTCCCCCATCTCTCCTGTCTCTGTCCGCCTCCCCCCAGCTCCGTCTATCTCTCCCCATCTCCATCCACCTCTCCCCATGTCTCCGCCTCTCCCCATGTCTCGGTCTGTCTCTCCCCATCTCCGTCCATCTCTACCCGTCTCTACCCGTCTCTCCCTGTCCATCTCTGCCCGTCTCTCCCTCCATCTCTGTCTGCCTCTCCCCATGTCTCAGTCTGTCTCTCCCTGTCCATCTCTGCCCTTCCACCTCCCCCCCGTCTCCATCTGCCTCTCCCCATGTCTTGGTGTGTCTCTCCCCGTCTCTACCCATCTCTCCCTGTCTGTCTCTGTCCATCTCATCCCATCTCCATCTGCCTCTCCCTATGTCTCGGTCTGTCTCTGCCCGTCTCCCCATCTCCATCCGCCTCTCCCCATCTCTGTCTCTGCCCCTCTCGTCTGCTCAGATGCCAGCCAGGTCCCCTGTGCGCAGCCCCTATCTGTAGGTGTACATTTCTCCCTCTGGGTTTGTCATCAAGCAGGCATTATTTCTGTAATTAGAACAGAAAATGTGATTTAAAAAGTGGTTACTATGGCAACCACTTCCCACACTGCCTGGGGTGCTTTCCCCTCCCTGGGGGCTGGGGGCTTGTGGAGTGCCCCCCGCAGGCCCCTGCCTTCTCCCTTTTGGAGTGCAGAGGGAGCTGAGGGCAGGGCCACACCATCAGGCACGTGTGCTGCAAGACCAGCGATGGCCGCGTAGTCCCCGAGTCCCAGTGCCAGGTGGAGACCAAGTCTCTGTCCATCCACCCCTGCGGGGACAAGAACTGGCCAGCCCACTGGCTGGCCCAGGACTAGGGCTGGTGAGTGTCCTGGAGATGCGGGTGCCTGGCCAGAGGGCATCGGAGAACAGCAGGTTGGCCAGGAGCTGGCTGCAACTTTGAAGGCGGAGCTCGCTGAGATGGATTTGACACACACAGAGCCAAACAGGCGGGGGAACCCCTTGGTGCATGCAGAACTGGCAGCGTCCCCACACCAGGCACCTAGGCGCCCGAGCGATGGGGCACGGGGCAGGTGCTGTCCGGCTGCAACTGCTTCTGGCCTGCAGGCTGGGCAGCCTGCTGTCCATGCTTGTCACCCCACCCCATGCCAGACCCATTGCTTCCAATATGCCTTCAAGCAGATCACTATTAACCAAATCATCTCGGGACAAAGTGTTGTCTGCTAAATCGATTCTGGCCACAGCACCCCCAGCCAAATGGTCATTAACCAATTTGTTTCAAACAGATGGTTTCAGGTTCCCCTGCTTTTGATCAAACTCATTTGGGGACAAACGGTTGTGGAACAAAGAGTTCTCAGCCGATGCGCCATCGGTCCCGGCGTCCCCCCCCGCCCCGTATCTACTGACCAGCTGTTGTCACAGGGTTCCCCCCATCCCGGGCAGGGGCAGCCGTCCCAGCCCTCTCAGCCCCTGGCCTCTGTTCTGACCTGTCCCCCGCCTCAGTGCAACACCACCTGTGGAGAGATGTGAAGAAGCGACTGGTCCTGTGCATAGAGCTGACCAATGGGAAGTTGTAGACGCACAGTGGGCCTGAGTGTGGGCTGACCAAGAAGCTGCCGGAGGAGAGCACCTGTTTTGAGAGGCCTTGCTTCAAGTGGTACTCCAGCCCTTGGTTGGAGGTGAGCGGCCAGCCCCGGGGCTCCCGCCCTGCCGCTCGTCCCCACCCCAGCCTCTGTCCCCAGGAAGCTGCTCACCTGTGCCACATCAGGTTGCACGAGAGCCATGCCTTCCAAAAGCCTGATAGCGTCCTGTTGTCTCTGCAGCTCTCTCACTGGGCCTATGGGCCTGCTCGCGTCCAGCTTGGCTTGACCTGGTTGATATATACATATATATATTTATTTGAAAGGCAGAGTTACAGAGAGAGGAGGAGGGAAGAGAGACAGAGACAGAGGGAGGCCTTCCATCTTCTGGTTCACTCCCCAAATGGCCACAATGGCAGGGCCTGTGCCATGCTGAAGGCAGGAGCCCAGAGCTTCTTCTGGGTCTCCCACATGGGTGCAGGGGTCCAAGCAGTTGGTCTGTCTTCTGCTGGTTTCCCAAGCACATCTGCAGGGAGTCGTATCTGAAGTAGAGCAGCTGGGACTCGAACTGGTCCCATGTGGGATGCCAGTGCTGCAGGCAGAGGCTTAACTTGCTATGCCATAGCGCCGGCCCCTAGCACTGACCTTTAAGCTATCAGTGGCAGCCTGGGGTGCTGACGGAGCCCATGGGGGCAGCCCTCATCCCGGGTGAGCCACAGCCAAGGCAGGGTTGTGGGATTTGGAGACCACATAATAGCAGAGCCTGGGCCAGGACCCTGTGGGCCCCAGAGAGGGTGGTGACCCCCCCACTGCAGTCCTGGCCCCCAGGCAGCCCAGCCTGAGGACGTCAGGTGAGACAGGACTGGGGTCTCACCTCTCTGCAGATGGGAGCTGAGCCCTCACCCCGGGCCCAGCAGTGCCTGAAGGAGAGGGGTCTCCCCACTCCTCAGAGAGGAACCCTGAGGCCCCTCCCACATATGCCTGTCCCCCAAGTGAAAGGGCAGAGTAGGGGGTGAGGAGGAGCCTCGCGAACTGGCCACTGGGGGAGGGGCAGAGGGAGGGAGGGCGGCCCCTGCCTGTGCCAGTCCCCTCTGGACTCTCCCTGGCCCTCCCTGGCCGGCCATGCTGGAGCTCTCAGGAGGGGCCGGCGGGGAGGCCCAGAGCGGCCTCTGTGAGCCGCCGGCCCAGGGCAGGAACACAGGGGATAAAGTGACGTGTCACAGGGTACTGGGTGCCCAGGAACCTTCACAGGATGCCGCAGAGGCCCCCTACCCTTGGCTGTAGCGGCGACAGGCAAGTGCCAAGCCCTCCAGCTTCAGGGCCCGAGCTGCGGAGTCTGTGTTACAGGGATCTGATGGGTGCAGCAACCCCCAGGCCAGGGTCCTACCCCGGACCCTCCTCACCCCTCCCACACTGCACCTGCTCATCTGGGACTGGGACACACATGCACTCACTCGTTCCATGGCAGGAGGGAGGCTGGGAGCTGTGCTGGGGCTTGTGGAGAACCCCAGGGGAGCTGGGGCCTGGAGGGGGAACAGGCAGGCCTACCTGGGGGACTGGCTGGAGAGGCCAAGGCCACCTCTGGGAACAACCAGGCCGGCTGGGAGGGGAGGCCTGACCACTGCTCCAGGCCCCCTTGGCGGGAGTGACCCTAGTCTGTTCTCCCCAATTGTTTGCAAGAGCAGTGTCCCTGGGGTGTGAGCAGCTCGTGGGGTTTTGCAGGGAGAGCACCCAGTGAGGAGCCAGGGCTGGGGTGATGGCTTCAAAAGGTGCCTCACAGACCCTGCACAGCTGGGATCATGGAGGTCCTGAGGTGGCCACCCCTCATGGTGCAGCTGGGGAAACTGAGGCAGCTTTGGGCGGCCCCCCAGTGCTGTCCCCACCCCTGCTCAGTGGCAAGCCTGGCCAGGTGGGTGGGGCCCGTGCAGGAAGCTGAGGGTCACCTTTGTCCTGTCGCTGCCCCATGAGTGCACCATGACCTGTGGGGTGGGCATGAGGATGCAAGATGTGAAGTGCTATAAGGGCACCGACATCGTGTGTGGCTGTGACCCACTAGTGAAGCCAGTGGGTAGGCAGGCCTGTGACCTGCAGCCCTGCCCCACAGAGCCCCCAGGTGAGCAGGGGCAGGCTGTGGGCCGGGCGGGGACTTGTGGAGGAGGTGCGGGAGCCGGGGCATGGAGGGTGAGCAAGTGCCCTGTTGGATAGCAGAGCCCGGGGAGGGGGAGGGGAAGGCCCACTGGGGCTGGAGGCTGAGGGAGAAGAGGGTCAGCCACAGGTGGGCAGGGAGTGTGGGGCCGAGGGACCAGGATGGGGGCCTGACTTGGGCACCTGGAATATGCTGCAGGTGTGGGTGATGGATTCTACTCTCGGCATAGTGCGGGGGGCTGTGCACCTGTGGGCTCCCAGAATGCACTGCTACCACAAGTCCTGGCCCCTGGCCTTGCCCCTTCCACCCCTCCTGCTGTTGTCCACGGGGAGACAGCAGAGAACTGGAGCCTGACACCCGCTGGGATCCCTGTGATGGGCACATGGCCCTGCCCAAGGTGCTCTGTGCCAGAGCTGCCCCGTGGCAGGACGGTGCCAAGGTGCTGGGGCGGCCAGCAGGGCTCTCACCTCTGGCCTCCTGCTGACCCCCGACCTCCGCCCTTTCCCCAGATGACAGCTGCCAGGACCAGCCAGGCACCAACTGCACCCTGGCCATCAAGGTGAACCTGTGCAGCCACTGGTACTACAGCAAGGCGTGCTGCCACTCCTGCAGGCTGCCCTGCCCTTAGGCTACCACTGCAGCCATGGAGACCCAAGTGCCCGCCCAGGGCCCCGCCCCAGACACCCCACGGGCGCCTGAGTGGGGGGGCGGGGTGCAGCACTGGGCCACCCCCTCTGCTCTCCCAGGCTGGGGAGCTCCAAATCCTAAGGATCCTGTTTGGGGCTGAGCCCCCACCCAAGGGGCCCCAGGACCCAGAGCCCAGCGGTGAAGGTGAGACGTGCCCAGGGTCCAGGCCGTCTCTGGGTAGGACCTCCTCCAGATAACTGGCAGGTGACTCTGACCAGGCTCTGTGGGGGAGGTGGCGGTGGTGGCCCCGATGTCACTGGGTCCCTGCCGGCATCTAGGTGCCCATCAGTTGGAGGGTTTGCCTCATGGCCCGGCCCAGCCCAGCACCTGCCGAACTTTAAGCCCCGGGGAGCCCTCTTTCGGTGTGTGTGGTTCTCAGCAGTGGGTTTGTCCTGTAACCACAGTCAGTACTCATCTGTGTATGTCAATAAAATGGTCGTATATATGGCGGCCTGGTGGGGTCTCTGCTGCGTCTGGTAGGAGGTGCAGGAGACCCCATGGGCTTGGGAGAGCCAGGGTGTGGCCGTGTGGGGTCTCTCAATCCCTAAGGCCTGGGGTTTGGGGCTGGCCAAGTGCAGACGGAGACCAAAGGCCACAGACAGAGTGGGCAGTGGGGCCTCAGGAGCCCGGCGCCGGGGTCAGAGTGGGCTGGAACCTCCACTGGTGTGGGGCTGCAGGGGAGGACCTGCACTAAGGCCTGGAGTGTCCCCTGCAGCAGGCTGGGGGACCAGGGATGAGGCAGGTGTGCGGAGCCTCAGGACTGGTGTTTCTGGAGCTCTGCGGAGGGCCCCTGGTCTGGACTCGTGGGTGCCGAGCCGGACGAGAGCCCTCCTTTGGGCTGACCCAGCGGTAGGCGTGGGGAGAGGCAAGAGCAGAGCAGCTGGTGGAGGGTGCCGGGAGGGGAGGGGCCTGGGGCTCCGCCACCCAAGGGACGGCCAGCTTGCCTCGGCGCTGAGGATGGCCAGGAGAACTGTTTCCTTTGGGCATAGGTGCCAGAGAGGCCAGTGGCTGCCTCCTGCATGGGGGCCCAGCCTGTCCCCAAATTGGGACTCAGAGCAGGGTCCACCCCGGGGAAGCTGAGGCAGCAACCAGCCTGGGGTGCTTTTGCCTGTGTGTGCCCATGGCTGCACATGTATGCATCAAGGGGCTGCACGTTTTTAAAAAATGTATTTATTGGAGAGGCAGAGAGAGACAGAGAGAGGCAGAGAGAGAGAGAGAGAGAGAGAGAGAGAGAGAGAGAAGGCGCCCACAAGAGAGTTGCCATCTGCTGATTACTCCCCAAACGCTGGCAACGGCCCGGGGCTGAGCCAGGTGCCAAAGCTGGGAGCAAGAATTCAACCCCAGTCTCCCACGTGGGTGGAAGGAGCCCCATTCCTTGAGCCATCCCTGCTGGAGTCTGGAGCCATCCTGGCGAACAGAACCCAGGTCCCAGCCGTGGGCTACAGGCTTCTGAACGGCGACTTCAACGGCTGCAACTTCACCACCACGCTGTGGCTGCCGCAGAGGGTTCTTTCCCAGCCCCCACTTGCTCAAGGGCTCCGGCTCCGCTCAGGGAGGGCTGAGTGGCTGTAGCCCCTGCCCGTGCCATGTTCCGCGGTCCCTGCTCTGCTCCGCCATCCTCTTTCTGCCCGAGCCTCCTCCTTTTTGCCAGCGCTGAGTGTGTGTGCTCACTGTACACAAGGCCTTGTGCCCCATCAGGGCTGCCCGGAGCCCCCTGAGGCAGTGGCTCTGTTACCGGCCCAGACGGGTTCAGCTGGGGTTCCCAGGGGAGATGAGCACAGCCTCCATCCCCCCAGGGTTGAGAAAGGCAGTTTTGGAGACCCCTCACCAGAGAGCCACTTTGGGTTCCTCCAGGCAGGGCCTGGGCTGCACGGGCATGGCACAATGCAGAGAGGGTTTGCACTGGCCACAGCAGCCAGACCGAAGCCATGAAGGGTGGTAGGAGATGATCCATTGGCTCTGCCAGGCTGGTGGGTGGGTCCCAGGACGGCGCTGCAGGGACCAGGCCAGGGCAGGGGGTGCTCACTGCATTCCAGAGCTCTAAGTATCTACGTGTGGAGGCTGGTGACCAAAATGGGAGCAGCTGCCTCAGGGCCCTCATCCCCTGCCCCCACCCCAGACTCCTCCCCAGGTGAATGCATCAGGGACAGACTCGATGGGGGCGGGGCCAGGAGCAGGGAGTCAAGGGTGCATCCAAACAGGGGCCAGGGGAGGGGGGAGGGACCAAGGAGTCCCTGAACAGCCAGTGTCCCCCGACTGCAGGAGGCTCTGGGAGCTTGCGGTGGGAGATGAGCCTCACTCGCGATTGGCCACAGCCCTTGTCAGAGGGAGGGGCTCCTGGGCCTCCCTCAGCTGGGGGTGGGGGCTGGTGCCCTGAGGGAGCCAGTGGTGTCATTTCTGCCGCTGATGGAAGGGAGCAGGGAGCCCCCAGCCTGAATCGGGGCTGGATGGAGTGTGGGCTCAGAGGAGGGCTCCACACAGGAGCCTCCACCCCGACACTGCTGGGGATGGGACAAGACAGCGCGCCCTGCAGCCATCTCCCTCAGGATCTGGAATCCCACAGAGACCCAGGGCCCCTCAGCACTCAGGACTCTGACTGCATCCCGGGAGGCCCCGCCTCTTGGTGGGCACAGGCGGAGGGCTCTCCCGAGCCCTGGCCCAGCTCTGCCCACCCTGCCACACCTCATGGTGCCCTCCGGGTTTCGGCTTGTGGGCTGTGTGGAAAGCTGAGGGCCAGGCTGGGGTTGGGGCCGGCACCCCCAGAGCAGCAGCCCCCCAACCCTGCCCGGGCCTCCCTTGACCAGAATGCGGGTTGGGGTGAACTCTCAAGGAGTAGGCTGCCCGGGAAGCCCCCTTGCAGGAGGGAAGCAGGCAGGTGCTGGGCACGTGTGTGTGCATGTGTGGGCATGTTCATGCGTGTGTGTGTGCACGTGAGAGTGAGAGGGGGCCCCTACAGACAGCAGCTGGTCGTCAGTGGCAGGGAAGGCTGAGGCCACCCCTTCCTGGAACACGTGAGGTCCAGGGGCTCTGCGGGCCTGGGGTGCCCCCAGGACAGGGGGGCCGGGGTGGCGCGCCATGGCGGGGGGCACGGTCACACGTCGGTGCTGACGCTGCGGCTGCGGGCGAAGGCCTCCCGCATGGCCCAGAGACGGCTGGGGTTGAGCGCCTGCAGTCCCCCGAAGTCCCCGCTGGGGGACAGCTCCGGGTCCTCCTGGCTGAAGCTGGCGGAGGCCACGCGCTCGCCACCGTTGCGCAGGTCCTTGTCCTCCGACTCCTGCAGGAAGAACGTGGGCGGCTCGTAGTGGGAGCAGCTGCGGCACAGGGCCTAGGCCTGCGGAGACCTCTGGCTGAAGGAGGTGGAGGTGGCCGGGTAGAGCCCCAGCCCATTGGTCAGCACCATGTTGTGGTTGGAGTGCAGCGGGAGCAGGTGTGCGTGCATGGCGAAGTCCGGCTCCTCCTCATCCTCCTCGGAGCCTTCCTTCTTACAGCAGTAGTACTGTGGGCAGAGCAGGTAACTGGCTGGCCCTCCCCGGCCCTCCCAGCCCCCCAGCGTGGGAGAGGAGCCGGCCCGGAACACAGGATCAGGGCGGTGGGCGGGGGCGCGCCTGATCAGACGCCTGTATCTGCGCACTTGTGTGTTCTGGGATCCAGCTCAGGCTGGGCTAAGCGCTAGGCACCTCTCAGAGCCACTCCTTGGATCGGCACAGCCACCCCCAGGCTGAGCCGTTTTTCAGGTGGGGAAACTGAGGCACGGAGGGGCGCTGCACAGTGGGGGCTCAAGCTGCCCTGCACCAGTGGCTCCCACTCCTCTCTCGGGCAGAAGGGGGGGCTTGGGTGGGGAAGGAGCCGCAGAGCTGGTCCGAGCACCCAGCTTCGCTCTCTCACTGGGCAGCTGCGTGTCACTGGCCAGGAGGCCTGGAGCGCCCTCTTCTGGAGTCCGGCCCTCCTGGCCTTCTGCAGGGGCTACCTCCCGGGGCAGGGGCAGGGCCAGGGGCAAGCCTCCCCTCCGCCCACCCCCAGCGGGTACCTGGAGCCGACAGTAGCACAGGACAGCGATAAAGCAGAGCAGGATCACCGTCGCAAAGATGTCCCAGGTGATGACCACGGTCCCAGCTGTCATCCGCCCCCTTCTGATTCAGCAGCCTGAAACACACGTCATGTGTCACAGGCATCTGGGTGTACCCCATAGCCCCCCGCTCTGCAACACACATCATGTGTCACAGGCGTCCAGGTGCACCCCACAGTCCCCCACCCTGCAACACACGTCACATGTCACGGGCATCTGGGTGCATCTCAGAGTCCCTGCCCTGCTACACACATCCCTGTACCTGCGTGGGAGACCCGGAAGAAGCTCCTGGCTCCTGGCTTCAGATCAATGCAGCTCCAGCCGTTGCAGCCATTTGGAGAGTGAACCAGCTTATGGAAGACCTCTCTGTCTCTCTGTCTCTCTGTCTCTGTCTCTCTCTCTCTCTCTAACTCTTCCTCTCAAATAAATGAATCTGTAAAAATAGTTTTATTAACAATTTTGTGAGAGGTAGAGACAAAGAGAGCTCCTATGTATTGTTTGCCTTCCCAGCTGCCAATGGCAGCAGGGGCTCGGCCGGGCCCAAGTCGGAAGCAGGGAACTCAATCTCCCAAGGTCTGCGCCAGCCAGAGGCGTGTGTCAGACCCTGGCCCCTGCAGTGGGATGAGGCCAAATGCCTGCCCATTATCTATGCCTTGAAAAGCATGTCTCTGGCTAAGTAACAGGAGCTGCCCGATTTCAGAAACCACGCTGACAACCTCCCTGGGCTACCCTCTCAGGAGTGCGATTCTCGGCCCGGCCTACGTTCCTTGTGAGCTTGTCATTGTGGCAGGTGCTCTCCACGGGTCCCCTGGCTCAACCCGCCCCTAGTGGGACAGGCGACAGCAGCACCAACATGCCCTGACTTGTGGCACTGGCAGGTGCTCAGCCCAGCCTGTGTTGGCTGCAGCAAGGGTTAGCAAGAGGCTACACAATTCCCTCGATTACCCGAGCTGGGGTGGAGGAAGTGACCGGAGCCCTGTGCAGGGAATCCCTGTGCCCAGAGGTCACTCATAAACCCCTCAGGGCGGCGTCCGGCAGCTGAGGATGTGGCCAGACTGCGAGCCTGGGTCTGTCTGGCACCCTCCTGTCACCCCCAGAGTCCATGGTCGGTTGGTTCACCCAGGATCTGGCTACAGCAAGTGCCTTCGGCTCAGGTCCCATTCCTTTTCCTCCTCCCTTCCTGGCTTACAGAAGCCTCAAGATCATTGATCTTTTTTTTTTTAATATTTATTTATTTATTTGAATGTGAGAGTTACACAGAGAGGGGAGGGAGGGAGGGAGGGGGAGAGAGAGAGAGAGAGAGAGAGAGAGGTCTTCCATCTGCTGGTTCTCTCCCCAATTGGCAGCAAAGGCTAGAGCTGGGCCAACCCAAAGCCAGGAGCCAGGAGCTTCTTCCAGGTCTCCCACGTGGGTGCAGGGACCTAAGGACTTGGGCCATCTTCTACTGCTTTCCCAGGCCATAGCAGAGAGCTGGATCGACCGTGCAACAGCGAGGACTTGAACTGGCACCCATATGGGATGCCGGCACTCCCTCCTCACTTGGGCCGGGACGGCAGTGCCGACACTAAGGGCACGATCACCCACTGAGTGTCCACCATGTGCCGCCTCCATACTACGCGGTCTGGACGTGGTCAGGCATTGGGGTAGGGATAAGCAGAGACAGAGCCGGGGCTGTGGGGGGCATGGGCTGTGTCTGGGGGCAGCACAGGGTCGGGGACGCTTCCCTGCAGGGCTGTGCTTCCGGCAGGGAGGGGGCATCTGGGAGGACCCCGGGCAAGACTTCAGAGCGGACCAGCAACAGGAAGCCCCGCCATCTCCCTCCTCTGCCATTTCAGTGACCTGTGCTGGACCGCGATGTGAAACCCAGTCCAGCCCGGCGAGGGGAGGGGTGGGAGCCACAGCGCCGCCGTTCAGCACTTGGTCTCACGGTCTCACGGCGGGTTCCTGTCGCTCACTTCCTGTGGAACTTCATCATGGGCTCCCCACCTCCCCGGGAAGCCAGCCTGTGGGGGTGCTGGGGGGAGGGGCAGAGGCGAGCAGAGAGCTGCGTGGGTGGGTGGGGTCTGCTCACTACAGGGCTCTTGGCTCCATCGCGCATGACCGTAGGTTGCAGCCCCATCACGCCAGCTCCCCAGGACCTGAGGCCAGCTTCCACCTGCCAAGGGTCTGGGCTCTTTGGTGGCTGAGGGTGAGACTTCACCACCGCCAGCCTCCACAAGGGGGACGAGCCACGCCAAGAACCCAGGATGCGAGGGGTTGGCCCCTGGCCACATGCACTGGCCTGGAAGAACCGTTTGGACTGAGCCGTGGTGTCCCAAGCCTGTGGCCGCCTGGTGGTAGCCCCTTCCCTGCTTCTCTAGGTTTGCACATTATTATTACAAAACTAGAGTGAAGTTACAGAAAATATTTTGCCAAAGGGAAAGTTTAAAATGCTAACTTTCCTTCAATTAAACTTCTGAAGTATCATTGAGGGTCAGTATTTGATAAAGTGCTCAATAACAGTTGATTCTGTGTGTGCATTTGTGTTGTCATGTAAACTAATTAATTGTCTCAAAGTGTAATCAAAGGCAGACTTCAGCATGAACAAATAAAAATTAAGAAAAACAAGACATAGATATTTGTAGGGTTGCAATGTAATAAATCACCAATAATTATTCAACGAATTTCTTTCTTTTATTTTTTTTTTGACTGGTAGAGTTATAGGCAGTGAGAGAGAGATAGAGAAAGATCTTCCTTCCATTGGTTCACTCCCCAAATGGCCGCTGCAGACGGCGCCGCGCCAATCCAAAGGCAGGAGCCAGGTGCTTCCTCCTGGTCTCCCCTGTGGGTGCAGGTGCCCAAGCACTTGGGCCATCCTCCACTGCCCTCCCGGGCCATGGCAGAGAGCTGGACTGGAAGAGGAGCAACTGGGACTAGAACCCAGTGCCTATATGGGATGCCAGCTCCGAAAGCGAAGGATTAACCAAGTGAGCCACGGCGCCAGCCCCAATCAATTTCTTCTAATACTTAAAAATACCAAGTGAGAAATTTCAAAGAGAAAATTTAACAAATCTGATTTTTAAGTATAACCTAAAAATTCTGCTTCATTTAAAGTAAGTGAACAGGATACTCTTCTGTAAATATGGAATATTGCTTTAATTTCACTCCTCTCTTATGTTGCTTAAAATTAGACAGGAATGTGGCTGTAGACTTCCTGTTATTTATATACCCTGTGAAGCCAGAGTTATCAGAGTGTGTTTGGTCAGAGGAATGAAAGGCAATGGATCCCAAATTTCAGCGTGTGGTGTTAAGTGATGGTCACTTCATTCCTATACTGGAATTTGGCCACCTATGCACCTGTAAAGGTAACTCTAGTCACTTTCTCTTGAGGGGACAAAAGAAAATAGACTTAGGAAGGGTGAAAGGGAGACCTGGGTTGTGAAGGCACCCAGTTCCTATGTTACTCCAAAGGTTTCACTT